TTGTTTCTCCACTGGGTTGCTTGTTAGAGCTATCAAACACTGGTTTGTAGTGGCAACAGGGAAGACTGTCATAATCTTGTTCTGGTCGAGGAACCCTGTCCATCTTCGGACCAACCCAACTGTGCTATAATTGAGAAATATGTATGCAAGCCCCCCTCCATCATTAAAAAAACTTACATCTCCCCTAAAATATTTGCTCAGAAATGTCTACGCTCCGCACACATTTCATACCTCCCCCCCTGTATTAATAATGAACGGTCCCTAGAAATAATTATGGTTTAAATTTGTACTTTCTAATTCACTTCATTGTTTTAACTTACAGTAAAAATGTACTGTATATAAGAGATTTTGGAAAATAAATATGTTTAGATAAAAAATGGTTGCTCAAGTGATTGATTTAGTAATACATAATAATTTACAAACTATTTACAATTTCATTTACAAACTATTTACAACTAGTTGCTAACAATTTACAAACTATTTACAATGTCGTTTACAAACTATTTACAAATAGTTACTAATAATTTACAAACTATTTACAATTTAATTTACAAACTATTTACAAATAGTTACTAATAATTTACAAACTATTTACAATTTAATTTACAAACTATTTACAAATAGTTACTAATAATTTACAAACTATTTACAATTTAATTTACAGACTATTTACAACTAGTTGATAATAATTTACAAACTATTTACAATTTAATTTACAAACTATTTACAAATTGTCACTAATAGTTTACAAACTATTTACAACTTAATTTACAAACTATTTACAACTAGTGGCTAATAATTTACAAACTATTTACAATTTAATTTACAAACTATTTACAAATTGTCACTAATAGTTTACAAACTATTTACAATTTAATTTACAAACTATTTACAAATAGTTACTAATAGTTTACATACTATTTACAATTTAATTTACAAACTATTTGCAAACACTCGCTGATTATTTACAAACTGTTTACAAATGGTTGCAGTGATTTACAAACTATTTGGAAATAATTCCCAATGTTTTACAAATAATTTACAAACAATTTACAAATTAGTTTTAAATTTACATAGTTTGTCAATGTACATTTAGTGTGTAAATGAAATTTACAGTCTATTTACAGACAAGTTGCATACTATTTACATAGTATGGAAGGAAGTTAATTTTTCCAGTGCTAGACTAAAACTGTAACATTGGCTACAAATGTTTGTAATTTTCGCGCCAAAATAGGCAAAGCCAAACAGCTACAAGCAAGCCTAGATATGTATAAAATCAAAGCCGAAAATTTGAAAGCGCATGCCGTATTTAAGGAACAAAAAATGTACGAGAAAATGGGTAAGCCAGTCTAAAATTATTCATACCGAAAGACAGAATATAGGGGAATGTTGACATATAAAAATAATCTTTTGATCGCTACATAATACCATAGCTCACCGACTGCAAGTGAAAGGAACCCAAATTCGAAGGCCATTTTCGTCGAATAAACTGATCGCCCTTGGTGATTAAAAAGCCGTTTTTCTCGCTAAAACGACAACCGATCCCTTCATCATTCCGTCTACACATAGCATGTCTTGATTTTCTCAAGACACGGTTTTTATTCTTTAAGGTTAGATAAAAAAGGCTGAAAATCGACAAGATTTCCTTTGGGAAAACATCGCTCCCGAACACTTCGCCATGGCAACTCAAATTGACTTTGATAATCAACTACCGGGATGCTTTGCGCGCGTGCTGCTAAAAGGGGAAACGTCTATTACTTCTGCACAGGCTGCGGAACTTTCGTATTCTCGTAGGTTATTTGTACCCACATGAATAATCACTTGGTCAAATTTCTTTCTAATCACAGGCTTGATAGGGTCGAACATGTCTCTAGTGGTACTACCAGGAAATGTGAATATTTTAACTTTGTTTTCTTTGGACACCTTATAGCCTTTCAAATGTTTTAGCATTGAGTCCCCAACAATAGCTATTTTGCGAGTTGCACGTTCAGACATATTATTCTTAGGATTTTCATTGTGTCGTGCATCACTTTGTTTCGCATTCTTCCGCTCCCTGCTACGTTGTTCAGGGCTTGATAAATTCGTTGAGACATCAGGTTTCTTTGGAACAATTTCTGCATTTGCTTCATCCACACTAAGTGCAGAATATCTGTTCTTAGTTGGAATATTAGTATAATGACCACCGCCAGCTTCGTCAGCACTAACGTGTTTTTCCGATTGGTAGCGGTTTGATTGTTCATCAACTTTAGCAATTGTATTAGTATTCACCGGTTTCCAAGACTTGTATAATACTATAATAGTCGAATGCTCGTTATCAAGCTGGCTTTCTCCTCCTCTGCACTTGAGGCCTTATTTTGCAAATCAGCTAAAACAAGGTTCAAGTTATTTACTCGTTCAGTTATTTGTTCATTTTCGTTTTTGAGCATAGCATTTTCATTTTTAAGTTCAGCATTTTCCTTCCTTAGTCTGGATAGTTCAAATACCGAGTTTAGATTCTTTAACTCACTTTTTAAGACTTAAAAGTCTTTAGAGTGATCTGATAGCGTATGGTTTACAGCCGCCATTTTGGAATTAAGTTCCTCCGTTAGGTTTTGCAATCTATTGTTAAGAATTTCTAAAGTACCTTATTATAGGAAATTAACGATGCACTTTACTAACGCGGATTTTAAAAATTCGCGTTAATTTAATTAATGTTAATTTATGTGATCGTTAATTTTAAGTATGTAATTTTCATTTATCGTTAGTTAAAATACCTACATTTGTTTTATATAACCCTCTTAACTCTTTTAATATCAAAATACAGCATATTAACGTAAGCTAAAAACATCAGTGCTCCTCTTAACATTAAACATTTCTTGTTGTTGTGTCTATATTTTCCGATTCGCGTTAATTTAAATAATTTATCAACCATGCAGATCAGATTCGCGTTAATATAATCATGTTTTAAATGACCTACAATCACTTTCAGAAGTTGTTGGGACACATGTAGTTTTAGCTTGTAAGTGGATCATTACAGTTTTTTTACACACAATACCGCTCCCCTCCCCCTCCCCCCACTCCAATCAATGTTGTTTAAACAAAAACACATCAAACCCGACGAGCAATGGGACACAACATTGAACAGGGGGCGGGGGGGATTGTCGTTTGTTAAAATTCAAAGGTTTTGTGGCATCTGTCCCAAGACTTTTGAAACTGATACGCTGAATAGTAATCTTTGGGATTGTCTGACTGAGTTCAATTACATGCCGCATTTAGTCTTCTCGAGCTTTCCGATAGCTCGCCACCTTGATCTTGTGGACAATTTTTAGCCATGTGGAAGTGACTATATATACCTCCCTTTTCGTGAGCCTCCGAAATTCCCACCCACTGAGTGCTTCTTCGTACCCATGCGTCGACAATTATATCTGCAAATTCTGCTCTAGAAAGATGTGAAAAGTCACATTGACTATTGATGATTATAAATCAAACGTTCTTTACCTTCGCAGTACCCGAATTAGCAGTCGACTCAGCCCTTACCCGCATGCGAAAGTAACCGGATGTTACATTACTATGCTATAAATTAGCAGTATGTATGACATATCTAGCGTAAACATTTGCGATACCTATCTTTATCGACGGAGTATAACTTCTCAAATAACCTATTTGTGCTTTGCCCAAATTTGTAGAAACAAACAACGTATAAAACCTTTGTGATTAAGAATGCTATATGACATAAAAAATTATATTCATATTCTGTTAATTATTAACTTTGAGAATTTTAATGAAACTTAATTGTTCTATAATGTTATATTAGATCTTCTGTGAACGAAATCAAACCCGACGAGCAATGGGACACAACATTGAATAGGGGGCGGAGGGGTGGGTTGTCGTTTGTTGAAATTCAAAGGTTTTGTGGCATCTGTCCCAAGACTTTTGAAACTGATTGTTGAAGCAATCCGCGTTAATTTATGTTGCGTTAATAAAGTGCATCGTTAATTTCCTATAATAAAGTATTTTCTGGAGGATCAACTTTCTTAGTAGAACATTTTACTTCGGCTAATCTCTTCGTCATAGAGACCACAACCTCGTTAATTTCTGAACTCGTTTGTGGAGAAGGCAAATTAAAAATATTAATCTTGTCCTTGTCGCTGACTAATGTTTCGGATATTGAGGCGATGTCAACTAACTTTCCTTCAAAAAATTGCGAGTCTTTACCAATTAGAATAAGCGACTTCGAGTCTGTATACCAACGAATAGATATATTTTCCTGTTCGTACAGCCTGGAATGGCCTCGCAGTCGTTCCTGGTCAGGTCTTAAAATGTATATATATACTCACTTGGATTACAAACCCTAAGAACAACTATTATTTATACACTAGGGTAGAGTGGGAAAAAAAAGGAGGGGGTCGTTGATTTGTTGAGTCTTGTTGGGGGGGGGGGGAATTGAGTGTTGTAAAAAACAGAATTATAACTGGTTTCAGAAAATATTTAACTACATATTAGTTGCCAAATGACATGAAATTACATTGATACTATTAAAACACTATAAATAAGAAATTAAGAAAAATATAGGATGAATTGTTGTAATAGAGATATATAATTTTAAGACAAATCATCTAAAGGAAGCATGCATTCTACTAGCTCTAATAGTATATGTTGCAAAATGTATTTTCTTCATAGTTAGGCATTCACATGAAAGAAGATTAGAATTGCATCTTGTTATATTGTCTCAAATATTTGGGGGGGGGG